AGCACTATCAAGCTATTGCCAGTCACTGCAGCATGAGTTCCATGACCCCCACACCCCCACACCCAGGCGAGGGAGGTGACCCACATGGTGCAGCTGACCTCTCCTGTCCCACCCGCTGCTCCCCTCAGTAGTGTATCTCATTGGATAGGCTTGTTCTGCTCCCTACTCTGGTCTGGTGAATCTTCTCACCCACCTACTCTCCCCATCCCCACCCACTACCACACACATACACCTCAGTTCTTGTATGCATAAGTAAATCAAATCAATAAATAAGAGTATGAATTCTAGTCTTAATCTATCAATGAAATTTCATGCAAATCATCTAAAACCTCTCTGTGCTATCATTTACTTAAATCTTTAAATGAACTTAAAGGTAATAACTAATGAACAAAATTAAAGCCCTACCTATCTCATAGGATATTAGAAAGAGGAAAAGATTCATGGATCACTAGGGTTCTGTGGGGCTAAAACATCAAGGAAAGACAGTGACAATTCAAGACACCACTTTCTAATGTTTATTCTGATTTTCTATCAAGTACTCTACAGTTTGGAGTCCATGCTCAGTCATATTTAATCCTTACAAGTTGCAAACAGCGGTCTCAAACCTAGAAAGGAGCACAATCCCAAACAAACTCAGCCAGTGTTCTTTCCTTTAACCAATAGTTGCTTCCAGATTCCCACTTCTTAGTCCATCTTGGGCACAGACTTTTTCTTTCTTCTTCTACACTGAAAGTCAATAGTTCACTTGCCTGCTTCAGAGATTGTATATGAGCTTCAGAGGCCTGTGCACGGAAATGCACTGCTGTGCAAGAGGAAAAGTTAAGAATGCACTTGAAATAGTTTTGAACTATAGCAAAAATATTTAAACTTTATGCATTAAAGAAAAATTTTTTTGGAGATTTATTTATTTATTTATGCATACAGAACTGGGGTACAGGCCAGAGGTAAGGGGCCGTGAGAGGATTCACCAGAGACAGAGTGGGGAGATCAGAACAGACAGATGGACGAAGTACACTGCTGAGGGGAGCAGCAGGCCAGCCATGAGAGATCTGCCACACCACGTGGCTCTCACCTCCGGGGTGGAGGATGGAACTCATGCTGAAGTGGTTTTAGCTTCTTAGGGCTGTGCTTTAACCCACTGCGCCACCAGGAAGGGTCCCTCAACTTTATTAATTTTTAGTATTTAGTTTGACTACCAGTCCACTGGTTCTCTACTTCAGAAGTCATCTGTTATATACAGTATGTAAGATGTTTCAGGAACTTTGGTAATACCACATTTAGACCCATAGTAGATGTCATCACCGGACAAGAATAAGCCTGTTAATGGCTACAAACTTTACAATTCTGAGTAAAAGAGGGAGAAGGGCCATGAAAATCTTTGTTCTGCAGAGATTCATTGGTTATCTCCTGGGAAAAGCCTAAAACGAGATAATGGACTTAGAGGACAGACACATTTTTATTTTACAATGTTCTATGATGAGAAATGACTGGCAAGAGTATGCTTTCTAGCACTTGTTTTCAACAACAAAAGTCCACTTAATCTGTCCTCTTAAGGTGAAGATTTTCTTAACAATTGGGGAAGAAATTGTTTTTCTAAAGAAACTCATGTTTATGGAAAAGGCATTTTGAAACTTTATGATGGGAAATGTTTCCAATATTGTGATTTTATTAATCATCAAAACCAATATTCTTCACGTATAGAAACTTTTATCTGTATACTTGAAAAACTAGGTAACAGAATTTGAAAATGTTTTTAAAATCTATAGGAAGCTTCTTAGTGGGTGTGAGCCCATTTGTTAAAACATGAAATGCAAATTTTCCAATCATTCAAGGATGACTGACTTAATAATTAAATTTAGTTAAAATCTAAATTTCAATTAAAAGCCTTTGCAGCCTGGAGAAGAAAAATGAGTATCACCGTTTAATAAATGCACCCAAAGATGCTCTGCTCCATTCAAATCTCCCTCTTTGGTGGGCAAATGCATGGTGGTAGCATGGTGCTGTGAAGTTACTGAATGCACCACCGAGGCCAGAACTCCCAAAGATGAGTTCAAATTGCTGCTATTTGTTCCCTTCCCATACTCCCTGCAAATACTTGATTTTTCAGTGTTAACATCTGAGACCTATAGTTATAACACCATAGCATGCAATTTACTGCAATTAAAAATAAAAACCAGTAAAAGAATGACATCTACCTTTTTGAGAAGTATCTTTTCATTATACTATATCTTAATTACAATCTCTTAATATTTCTACTCGAAGGCATGTTTTCGAAGGCATGTAATATGATAAAATACATGTAAATAATTATTTGAAATACACATATTAAGAAAGCATAAGAAAAAAGTTTGGTGACCACTGCTTTCTCACCACAGCTAAGTGTTCACACTTGGGATTCACCTTCGCAGGAAGTATGGGAAAGGACAAATAGTAGCTATTTGGACAGGATAGGGACAGAACTCATCTTTGAGCGTTCTGGCCTCAGAGTGAAGACAGCAGGCCTTTTGATTTGCCAATCCGTACCTGGTGTAACTGAGGGGAAGCTCTAGGTTCATTCTAAGTCCTCAACAGATGCTTATTAGTTTGTTTTTTTTTTTTCTTTTTTCTCTTGCCTTTTGCAAACCCACCACTTCTAACACTAAAGTCACTTGACTCTGGTTGGGTAAGGGGGAAAGATACACGCATACAGCACCCAAGAATAATGGAGATAACCTGGAAGGAAGAGAATGTGTACAAACAGAGCACTGCCTGCTATTTTACAATAGCATTTACCTAGGGAGGAAAATCAAGACAGATGCCCCAGTCCGAATGAAAACGTTTCCTTTTTATCTGAATTATTTTTAATCATAATGCTTGGGACTTTCAGTCATGTTACTCGGAAAGATTTAAACACTGATTATGAGAGGGAGTTATGAAAATAGAATTGTCCTTGAACGGATTTTCCGTCGAGTTCAAAAACTCTTTACACGACTGGGTATATGCCCAAACCAAGCAGAGGGGGGAAAGCCAAGGGTCTCCTTCCACCCTGTTAGAGGGTGTTCGTGGGGAGGGCCACAAAAAAGGGCGGAAAGGGTTCCGAGAGCTCCTGACACCCGGGAAGGCGGCTGCAACAAATTACTGAAATTGAGATGAGAAACGAGGCGGGGTAGAGATGACCAGCGGCGGTGGGAGGGCAGGGGCGACGCTGGTGGAAGCAACGAGGTAAAAGCTCACGCGTGGGGACGGGGCCCCGGGAGCGGGGACCGTGGCGGTGGGGGAGGGGGACACCGTGTGCCGTGCAGAGGGAAGGGGGCCGGCGCCCGCGGTGAGGAGGCGGCGGGGGCCGCG